GTGTGCCCGATCCTTTACAGTGATGTCCATCACAGAATCACGCCTGTTTTAATACAGTGCTGTCTGAGAATGGGCTTGCACACCGAGATTTCTCCAGATTCTCTTTCTTTCGATTTTGTGTACGGATATATTTAACATCCTTGCAATTTTACATTGAGGAACATAATTCTGAAATAGTTTGCCATTTTTTTTATACACAGATTTTCACAGATTGGTGGTCCTCTGCCCATTTTTACTTCTGAGACTCTGACTCTACAAGATGCCCTTTTAATACCTAATCATGTTGTTATGGACCAGTTTCCAATTAATTTAATTACTTGAAAAATGTTCCTCCAGCGCTTCCTTGTTCATATCACTCATGTTAGCTTTTTGTTGCCCCTGTCCCAACTTTTTTTTTTTAGATGTATTGCTGCCATCAATTTAAAAATAACCTTATTTTTTTCTTAAAATGGTACATTTGATATGTTTTCTATTTTTTTTAGTGAATATAATATGGGTTTATGAGATTTGCAAATCATTGCATTCTGTTTTTATGTACATTTTACACAGTGCACCAACTTTTTTGGAATTTGGGTTGTATTAAAAGAGTGCCATGATCCAGGTTAGCCAGCTTTCAGACATGAGTTGGCCAATTTGGAGAACTCAGATAAGCCCAGGAAAAGGGACTGGACAATGCCACACCAATAATACTAGAACCCAAAAACATGTATTCAATTGCGGATATCCACAGCAACAAAGTCAACACATACCCTTGTCATCAGGGCTTAGAATACTGTAAAGGGTAAACAAATTTAACTTTGCAGGAATAAATAATTTAAAAAACACTAAGTTCTGAAGGATTTCCACTAACAAATACATTTCTCATTATTTATAGTACTAACCAAGTTCCTTTTCCTCCATCCTATACAGTATTGTAAGCCCTGATGAAAGGAATATACACATTTTTAACCCCTGAAATTTGTTGGCTTGTTACTTCGGATTTCTAAAATGGAATGAATGCTTCTGGACTAAAACAATTGGAATGGTGCTGTTATTCACTTCCTTTCCCTAAAGTTATAAATAAGACATTAAGGGGTTTATTTACTAAAGCTGGAGAATCCAAAATCAGACTCCCTTCTGCATAGAAACCAATCAGCTTCTAAGCTCAGCTTGTTCAATGAAGCTTTGGCAATGAAACCTGGAAGCTGATTGGTTTCTATGCAGAAGGGAGTCTGATTTTGGATTCTCCAGCTTTAGTAAATAAACCCCTAAATGTCAATCAACTAAGGGTGGCCATAACTGAGATGATAGTCAAAAGAAATGCTCCTGGTTAGGTATTACAAGTAATAACCATGCAGTTTCTAAATTTCCTAGGCACTAAAGCACATACATGTTGTGAAATCGCTATGTGCAATAAGAAAACTTAAGACACTTAGAAGTAGTCTGTCATCCTCTGCTCAACTCAAATATGGCCCAATAGTCCTCTAACCATTGCAATAAATCTCCATACTGCGGCCCTTCACTTGCCTTTATACGGCCCCTGAGATACTCTTCCTCCCACGGTCACGAATAATGGGGCATAATTCCTCCCACTGATATAAATCATTGGGCACTATTCCTCCCACTAACAATGATCGGGCACTACCCCTCCAACTAATACCAGGAATGAGGCACAATTCCTCCTCCTACTGACCACAAAGTACGAGACATTGTGTACTCCCCCACTGATGCTGGGGCATTCCTTACCCTCACTGGACACAATCTGGCCCTCCTAAAGACAGGACAGTAAACTGGCCCTTTGTTCAGAAAGTTTGGAGACCCTTGCAACAGATGATTACATCGTACTGTATTGTAAAGGAAAACATTTTTTCCTTTAGTTTTGGAGTGGGAAAGTTACACCTCCTACAAAGTTTTAACTGCAGTCTTGAGTGCCCATTGGGGGAATGCACCCCTCTTTGTTCTGGTGACTAGAGTCACTAAGACAGAAAGTGAATTAAGTGTCTCATATTTTAGAGTTGTCATTCATGAGATGTGAGAGAAAATCTAAAGGGTACAAAATGTGCTGGTAACTACTGTTTAAGAGAGGTATTCATCTCATTGTTGCATCTCTAAGACAGGAAGTGAAAGATTATCTCCCCAGGATGACCAAGAAGGCAAATGAAAAAAGTCGATACAGGTTTTAACCCTTTCTTCATCCATCCACTAAAAAAAAAAACAAAAAACAAAGTTTTGGCTGTGCACAAATTTTAAGTTATCATATCAAAACTTTTTTTTCTCAACATTTGAATGACAGCAGCCTTCTCATGGAGCACTAAAAACTGAACTTAATGTCCTCAGAAAACATATTGGGGGAGGGGGGGGGGGGTTAAAAATATTGGGAACACCAGTATTATAGGACTTAATTTTTTGATCTTTTATTTTTGTTGTCTTTACATTCTAAAATGTCAGTGTATTACACATTCATTCATCAGCACTCAGCATTAGTTAATAAAACGAGTGACTTGTTCGACTCAAATAGGATGGACTGATGGTGCCTAGTTAGCTGGAGTGTCTGTAACAATAGCCAAAACACTTTGTGCTTCTAGGATAGTGGTCTCCAATCTGCAGCCCTTTGCTTGCTTTTCTCCTGCCCTCTTACTAATACCAACATTGGGGGGATAATTCCTCTTACTGAACCAATGATGGCAGTATTCCTCCCACTGACACCAAGAATGGGGTACTATTCCTTCCACTGACACCACTAAAAAGGGCACTAGCCCTCCCACTGACACCAACAATGGGGCACTATTCCTCCCACTGACAACAAATGGGTATTATTTCTCCCTTTGCCACCAACGTCACACTATTCCTCCTACTGACATCAATGATGGAACACTATTCCTCCCACTGACACCAACGTTAGCACTTTATTCCTCTCCCTACAGACGTAGCATTGTTTAATCCATCAGGATTATCATCATCATTATTATTATTATAATATGTCATCGGACACCAGGACATTTTCTACTCACACTGGCAGCAGTCCGGCTCTCCTAAAGTCTGAAGGACAGAAAACTGGCCCCTTGTTTAAAAAGTTTGAAGACCCATGTTCTAGGGCAACAGTCTCCAAGATATTGACTGCATACACAAAGCAAAAGCACTGGCAAAGAAGAACAGTGATTGAAAACTGAAACTGAATTTTATATTTGGATTAAGCTCTTGCATGCATATTGGCTTTGCAAAGTTATCTGCAGATGGTTTATGAAAACAGGGTCTTCTAAGTGGATACTGAGTTCTGCTGTCAGTGGTATTTCTTTGTTATTTGGCCACAATCCTTATTTTGATCATTTCTGTCATTTCAGCTCTTTACCACTATTCTGTACCAATGACAAGTTTTGCCATTCTTTGTGAAGGTGGTCATAAAATATGGTTTTGCCTTGCTCTTGAAACACCAAACACTTTGGCTAACATTACAGAAGCTTTAGTTTAAAAAGGCACCAAAAACTTGCCCTCCAAGTGTCTGGAAAGCCACCTATTTTAGTTCTTGTAATCTCAATTAACACACTTGTATATACTGACATCGATCCACAGCTCATCCACCGGCTTCTGGGTCACCAAACTACGTAATTGGACCCTAGTAGTCACACTTTCTATTAGAAACATATACCCACCTGAATCAGCACTCACCAGAAACATCATACCTACTTTTCTGAAGTAAACACTTGGGCTTTTATATCCATTTTAATGACCACTTATTACATGTTGCTGAACAAAACATGTAATACAATGGCATCAGCTTAGTAGGCATAGATAAAGAAAAGACAACTGAGGGATAGATTTCTTAAGTGTAGCCTAAACAAAAATAATATCCGACAATACTGGTGATGACATTATTTTGTCCACCCCATATGATATATACAGATAAAACCGCTATTTCTTCTAGAGATTCACGTTTCTAGAGTACAGAGATAAATCCTTCAGAGGTCAATATTATGAAACAAAGGACCAAATTCACGCAGTATTACATCTTGATTAGGCTACAGGCACAACAGAAAGGCCAAGAGATGGGTTTACATATTAAAAGTACTTTGTGACTAAGGAGAGAACATTGTTGAAACTTTTTTGTCAAATGGACAATTTAGGTTCATTCTCGCTCAGGTTTTGGATCACTACCACTTATAAAAGACAGCTACTTCCCCATAAACAATGGCTTCCACACAGTCTATCAAATTCTGATATCTTCCAAGTATGGTAAAAATATGAAGAGAGCAATATGTACTTCGCAAATACGGTGTGTAACTTTACACAAGTATTTAACGTAGGCAAAATTCATTAGTTCCCAAACCGTTTGAAAACAATAAAAAATATATCAATTTGGTATTATTTAATTATTATCAAAGACAATGAATGCCAAGAACACTTATTTAAGAATCAGCTCATAAAGTTTTTTTTGTACAAAAAATAATCCTCCTACAGTAACAAACAATGAACGGTTTTGTTTGTCTGATGGACCATTCATTTACTAAACAATGAAGTGGCATATTATCAATGGGACTCCTTTCAGCAAATGTTCTTAAGTAAAATAATCTAATTCCATTACGAATTATGGATAGGAGTAAATCTGGTGTTTGAAATACACAGTAGTTCGCACTGTGCTTGATTCTCCATGGCAAGTAACTTACTGGTCACAGGCACCTTTTAAAAACTTGCACGCATTAAAACATCTTCACATCACTCTGACTGTCCAACATGGTGGTCTTAACCATTTGTGAGTTACTGTCTGTTAAGAACAGGAGGTGAGCATCATGTTCTATACTCAACCATTCAGCAGACCCGTGAGTATCCTCATCAAGCTTGTACGCTTATAGCTTTTCTTAATAAAAGATCTCTCAACATGGTCAAGGAATAATAACATGGTTTAAAATTCCTTTTGTCATATTTCATGTGAAATAGCTGCTTTATTCACATATAAATTAAAATGGCAGTTTTCTTTTTTGAACAGCTGCAATGGCACATCATTTTCAAGATTAAGTCATCTGCTCTTATTTATTGGCTTCTGGGTAAGTGGGATATTTCACAGTCTCAATTTTTTCCTTAACTTTATACGAGGGGTAGAGACCAGTCCTTCCTAGTTTGCGGTTAACACCCTTTGAATAGCCATCCCAGTGGTTTCCAGCTACTCCAATAATGTCCCCAGGTTCCATAGGGATATCATCAGCATTTCTGGGATGGTGGGGATATATCGCAATTTGGTTGTGAGCATTCTGTCCTCCAAAATAATAAATATCATCCAAGGAGTGAAAGTTGGCTGAAGCATCTGGATGAAGTGTTTGCATGATTTCATAGGCAACTCGACAGACCTATACAAAAAACAAACACAAAAATGAAAAAATTTTAATATTTACACAAAGGATCCTATGTGACCAGCAGTTCTTATAACTAAATATAAGTACATCCAGAATTAAACAAAATGCTACCAGTTGTTACATTTTACATTCAGTTCTGTAGAACTTCTGTTGCACAGAATTTCCTTAGAAATCAAATTTCTTATAAATATGGTTGACTCACTGTTATTCCCAGTTTGTATCTTAATTTAACAGAGGACCGATCATGTGCCAAAAGCAGAAACACACTCACACTCAGTAGTTAAGAAGAGGTAACTAGCCTATATTGCACTCCTTCACATATAAAATGATCTTCTTTAGGTTAGCCTCCTTTAGACGTATTCTCTGCTATACTCACTTTTGAGTATACATAAAGAAAACGTACCTGACAAATTTTTTTTTTTTTTTGTCAAGTACTCTGGAGGGCTACAGTTTTCCTTATTTGCCACTGGCATCCTGTTCAGATCAAACTTTCCCTGTAGAAGAGAACTAAGACATACAGATTTTGGACTTCTTATTCCAAGAGGAGACAAGTTTTGAGCAGCTCAAGCAGCATAACATTCTGAACATTGAGACATTATACTGTCTTTAGAAAAATCATCGTATTGATTATCTCAACTGACATGATGTATCATGGATCCCTACTTCTTTCATCCCCAATTCTAAATTATGCACTGTTTAACTGGGCAACTATGTGGCAACTGAGGTTTAATGTTAATAAATGTAAGGTTATGCACTTGGGGGCTAAAATATTCATGCATCATACATACTGGGGGGGTACAACTGGGGGAATCAATGGTGGAGAAGGATCTGGGGGTTCTGGTAGAGCTCAAGCTTAATGATAGCATGCAATGCCAAGCTGCAGTTTAGAAAGCGAACAAAATCCTCTTTTGTATTAAAAGAGGTATAGATTCCAGAGAGAGAGAGATATCATATTACCCCTGTACAAATCATTAGTAAAACCTCATCTGGAATATGCAGTTCAGTTTTGGGCACCAAGTCACAAAAAACATTGGGGAACTGGAGAAAGTACAGAGAAGGGCAACCAAACTGATATGAGGCATGGAGGAGCTCAGCTATGAGGAAAGATTAGAGGAACTGAATTTATTCTCTCTTGAGAAGAGGAGATTAAGGGGGGATACAATCAACATGTATAAATACATCAGTGGTTCATATAGTGAACTCAGTGTAGAGTTATTCACCCTGAGGTCATCACAGAGGACAAGGGGGCACTCTTTATGTCTGGAGGAAAAGAAAATTAAATCTCCAGACATGGGAAGGTTTCTTCACACTGACAGCTGTGAAAATGTGGAATAGACTCCCTCAACAGTTGGTTCTGGCCAGCTCAGTGGCCTGGATTCTTTCTTAGATACACAGAATATAACTGGATACTAAAGAGATGGAAATCAACTCCTGGTACTCAGTTCTTCTACTATATTTCATTAAATGTCATTACTAGTTATAAAAGTATGAAGTGAATTGCTTTTTTGGTACTAGTTTCTCTGTGTGTGTATACACACTATATTACCAAAAGTATCTGGCCAACCCTCCAAATCATTGGATTCAGGCATTCCAATCACCTTCATGGCCACAGGTGTACAAAATCAAGCACCTAGGCATGCAGACTGCTTCTACAAACATTTGTGAAAGAATGGGTCGCTCTCAAGAGCTCAGTAAATTCAAGCATGGTACCATGATAGGTTGCCACCTGTGCAATAAGTCCATCCGTGACATTTCCTTGCTACTACATATTCCAGAGTCAACTGTCAGTGGTATTGTAACAAACTGAAAGCAACTGGGAACAACAGAAACTCAGCCACGGAATGGTAGGCCACATAAAATGACAGAGCGGGGGTCAGAGCATGTTGAAGCGCACAGTGTGTAGAAGTCGCCAACTGTCTGCAGAATCAATAGCGAAAGACCTGCAAACTTTGTGTGGCCTTCAGATTAGCACAATTTTTATATATATATATATATATATATATATATATATATACACACACACACACACACACATACATGCACACACACACATACATACATACATACATACATACAGAGAGAGGGAGAAAAAAAAGAGATAGATACACATTCTATGTACATACAGTCATAAGGAAAAAGTATATGCACCCCTTGCAATGAACCTTTTCTCTGCAGTAAACTGCCATAAAATGTGATTTGATCCACAACAATAGTCACACACACACACGCTTAAGCCGATAACATGCAAACAATTCTAATTTCTCATGTCTTATCGAGCACACGCTTTAAACATTCACAGTGCTTTAGGAAAAAAATAAGTGAACCTTTGGAGTTATTAGCTGGCAAATGTCCTTTGGCAGCAATGGCTTTTGGAAGCTCTGGGTCAGATCTGCACAACATTCTGGAGGAATTTTTGACCATTCCTCTTTAGAACACTGCTTCAGCTCAAACACATTTTTACGATGTCTGGTATGAATGGCTCTCTGAAAGGTCATTCCACAAAGTCTCTTTGGGGTTAAGGTATGGGCTCTGATGGGTCCACTCCAGAAGGCACATTTTCTTTTTTTGAAGCCAGTTTGTAGTCTGCATCACCCAACTTCTACTAAGCTTCAGCTAGCGGACAACCACCCTGACATGGTCTCGTAGGATATTTTGGCAAATTAATTTTTCCCCTTGATGATGGCAAGTGGTCCAGGCCCTGAAGCACTGAAGGAAGCCCAAATCATGATGTTCCCTCCACTATACTACACTTTTATGCATCATACACAGTGCTGAGTATTATTCCCGAACAATTAAACTTTTGTTTCATAAATCCACAAAACATTTTCCTAGTAGCCATGCGGCTTGCCAAGATGCTCATTGGCAAACTTCAGACACACAGCATTGGTTATTTTGAAGAGCAGCAAATTCCACCATGGTGTTCTGCCATGAACACCATGCCTGTTGAACTGGGATGTTTTCCAGTTCCAGTGAGGACTTCAATCCTTTAGCTGTTACTTTTAGGTTCTTCTTTACCTCTTTGAGGATTCTGCGTTGTGCCTTGGGTGACATCTTGGCTGGGCGCCAACTTCTTGGAAGAGTAGCCATAGTACTAAACTGTATCCAGTTATAGACAATTATCAACTGATGGATTCCCAAACACTTTGATTTCCAGCCTTATGCAGATCAAATATTGATTGGATGTCTTCCATGAGAGCTTGTTTTTTTTGGGGGGGGGGGGCATAGTTCACAACAGCTGATGCTTCCTATGAACAGCAATCTTAAAATGTCTGAGTGTCTTTTATCAATGAAAGTAGCTTTAAACCACACCTCTAAACCAATTTCATTAATTGGACTCCAGGTGTGAAAATTACTGACTCCAACTGGCTTTCAATTAAGTAATTAATATGACCGAGTCAGAGGTGGGGAACTACAGGGCAGGCAGCAACTGACATTAATGCTCAAGGCTAGGATACTATTTGCAGCAGCCCAGTGCATTAGCCCAGCTTAATCTTCTAGGGATGGCAAATAAAGAGATGCATGTAGTTCTCCACCTATGACTCAGTCATCAAGCTGTCCTTATGACATGCACCAAGCTCCAGTGTGTTTGCCAGTCCAGCAACTGATCTTTTCAAACCTGCCATTGAACTGAAGAAACAAAGTGACATATACATCTACTTTGCACTGCCTTATAAAGAAAGTGGTGCCATTCCAAGACACCCTGTAAAAGTTTAATAGGAAAAAAAAAAGGAGAGCCTAGGATTGGAAAGGATACAGCATAATAACACCATTGCCTATTCAGAAACGGAGGTTTATTTGAGCGCATTTGACCTGCTTGCCAAGGGGTAAAAAGATTGCATTGAGTGCAGTGGAAAAGGGGGAGCACAAGTGGAAGCACTGAGTTCATTGTCACCATTATTTGAATATAGAACACAATCAGTAAAGCACCAAGAGCACAGTATTTGGATTGGACTTTTTATTAAAGGAGTATGGACACTTAATACACAGAGGAGATTTATATGCAGATGTTTTGGGGTTTTTTTATGGTTTTGATATTTTATGTTAACCACTAGAGGGAAGAAGGGGCACTGTAGATTTGAAGACATTTAGGGGATGCATATTTTTGTGGGTTAATTCTATTAGCACAAGGAGGAAACACTTAATAGACATATGGTGGAGGAGCATTGTAGTGCCTGCATATTTTGGTCAATGGATTGTTCATTTTAGGTTTATCTTATGGTTATTTCACCATATTTCATTTATGTGCAAAGGTTCACAGGTTTTCATATTTGTATTTGCATATGACTAGTGGGGGAGGTGCACTGTAGCACATATAGTGCATATATTCACTGAAATATTGGAACATCACCATAATCTATACAATTTTGGGTAAGAGGCAGCGTTAAACCCCTTTTTCCCTAGTTTTCATACACCCTTAGGTTGGTGTTAGGTGTAAGCAGCCGCCCACCCTTACCAGCCATTATGTGGATTGAGTTTTTTTTACCTTTATTAAGGGATTGAGGAATCTATGTCCACAGTCCCTTTCTCTGTCCCAAAAGTGAGGCATCAGGGGTTTGCGTAGACTCCTGATATCTCAACAAAGCCCCCCAAAAGGGTTGTGAAAAACAAAATGTAAAAATTGTAAAAACATTGAAAATGTGAAAGATAATAAAAAAAATTAATACAGGGGGAAAGAGTGAGTATACAGGAGGAAAGGGCAGTGTGAATAGAGAGTGGGACAGTGTGTACAGGGGTTAATTTAATTTTGGATAATTCCCTGTGTTTATTTGTTGCTTCTAATCAGACTAAAAAGCCACACCCAATATGAAATATAATATGTAACACACCCACTTTTTGCGGTCATCATCTCCCTGGTAGGGGCCCTAAGGCATTACTTTGCTCATGGAACCATGATGTTATTAAGATGGCACTGATCCCATCCTGTGCTTGGAAAAATTATGTTCGATCTTGATACATTCCATTGTGTTTGGACTCAAGTAATTAAATCACATATGCGGCTATAAATGGTGGGACACATCACTGATGCTCATCAGAACTGAAGCATCGTGGCTAAGCTGCAAATCATTTTAAGCATTACAGAACAAGTCCAGTTTACTTTAGTTTGACTAAATACTACTAACTATACTATGACTTGTATAAATGGGAACCTTCACAGACAAACTACTGTAAATCGTTAACATCTATTAAGGAGGAATTTCATGTTATCTTTTACTGAAATGTATTTTCATCCAGCATCAACAATCGCATTAATAGCAAAGGATGGTTTATCCTATGCAAATAAACTACTCACCTGGGAAGAAAATGTACACACAAGAAAGTCAGCCTGGGATAAGAAATGGATATCGAGAATGACGCCTCGTAAAGAATTTTCAGTGTAACGGTTATGTAGACCCGCAGACCACGATATGGAATTGTCGCTAATAAACTCGTACTGTGAATATCTGGGAAAAAAAATGGAAATGACATAATGACATATGTACGTTGTAACATATAGGTTTAATTTAGACTATACTTTTTAAAAAGATTCTGTAAGAGTAAATTGTGCAGAGCAGTAAAAAGAGGGCTAAAAATTAAAACACAGAAAAAAAAATTAAAGAAAAAAAAAAGGGGAGGATAACATGACACAAGTACATACTGTATACACTATATTGCCAAATGTATTGGGACACCTGCTTCTACACGTAAATTAACTAATGGCCTCCCAGTCGTTGTCTGTAGAGTTCAATATTGAGTTTGCCCACCCCTTGCAGCTAAAACAGCTTCAACTCTTCTGGGAAGGCTGTCCACAAGGTTTGGGAGTGTGTCTATGGGAATGTTTGACCATTCTTTCAGAAGAGCATTTGTGAGGTCAGGCACTGATGTCGAACGAGAAGGCCTGGTTCGAAGTATCTGCACTAATTCATTCCAAAGGTGATCAAGGTCAGGACTTTGTGCAGGACAGTCAAGTTCCTCCACTCCAAACTCGCTCATCCATGTCTTTATGGACCTTGTTTTGTCCACTGGTGTGCAGTCATGTTGGAACAGGAAAGGGCCATCCCCAACCTGTTTCCACAAAGTTGGGAGAATAAAATTGTCCAAAATTTCTTGGTATGCTGACGCCTTAAGAGTTCCCTTCACTGGAATGAAGGGGTCAAGCCCAACCCCTGAAATAAACTCCCACACCATAATCCCCCATCCACACGTGGCATAATGCAGTCACGCAAGTACTGTTCTCCCTGCAACCACTAAACCCAGACGTGTCCATCAGATTGCCAGACAGAGAAACGTGATTTGTTACTCCAGAGAACAAGTTACCACTGCTCTAGAGTCCAGTGGAGACGTGCTTTAGCCCACTGCATACAACGCTTTGCATTGCACTTGGTGATGTAAGGCTTGGATGCAGCTGCTCGGCCATGGAAGCCCATTTCAAGAAGCACTCTACGCACTGCTGTTGTGCTAATCTGAAGGCCAAAAAAAAAGTTTGGAGTTCTCTCCCTATTGACTCTGCAGACAGTTGTCGACTTCTGCACACTGTACGCTTCAGCATGCGCTGACCCCGCTCTGTCATTTTACGTGGCTGAGTTGCTGTTGTTCCCAGTTGCTTCCACTTTTTTATAATACCACTAACAGTTTGAGCGTGGAATATTTAGTAGCAAGGACATTTCACGGATGGACTTATTGCACAGGTGGCTAACCTATTACGGTACCATGCTTGAATTCACTGAGCTCCTGAGAGCAACCCATCCTTTCACAAATGTTTGTAGAAGCAGTCTGCATGTCTAAGTGCTTGATTTTATACACCTGTGGCCATGGAGGTGAGTGGAACACTTGAATCCAATGACTTGAAGGGGTGTCCCAATAATTTTGGCAATATAGTGTGTGTGTGTGTATGTATATATACATACATACATACATACATACATACAGTGAAGGAAATAAGTATTTGAACCCCTGCTGATTTTGAATGTTTGCCCACTCACAAAGAAATGATCAGTCTAAAAATCGAATGGTAGGTGTATTGTAGCACTGAAAGATAGAATAGCAACAAAAAATTCAGCAGAAATGCATGTCTAATAAATGATGCACTGTTTTGCATGTTTATGAGGGAAAAAAGTATTTGATCCTCTTCACGAAACATGACTTAGTACTTGGTAGCAAATCCCTTGTTGGCAATCACAGAGGTCAGACGTTTCCTGTAGTTGTCCACCAGGTTTGCACACATCACAGGAGGGATTTTGGCTCACTCCTCTTGGCAGATCCTCTCCAAGTCTTTAAGGTTTGGTGGCTGACATTTGGCAACTTGAACTTTTAGCTCCCTCCACAGATTTTCAATCGGATTAAGGTCTGAAGACTGGCTAGGCCACTTCAGGAACTTAACGTGCTTCTTCTTGAGCCACTTCTTTGTTGCCTTGGCCGTGTGTTTTGGGTCATTGTCATGCTGAAACACCCATCCACGACCCATTTTCAATGCCCTGGCTGAGGGAAGAAGGTTCTCACTCAAGATTTGATGTTACATTGCCCCGTCCATCGTCCCTTTGATGCGGTGCAGTTGTCCTGTCCCCTTAGCTGAAAACACCCCCAAAGCAGAATGTTTCCACCACCATGTTTGACAGCTGGGATGGTGTTCTTGGGGTCATAGGCAGCATTCCTCCTTCTCCAAACACGGCGCGTTGAGTTGGTGCCAAAGAGCTCAATTTTGGTCTCATCTGACCACAACACTTTCAACCAGTCCTCCTCTGCATCATTCAGATGTTCAGTGGCAAACTTCAGACGGGCTTGGACAGGTGCTTTCTTGAGCAGAGGGACCATGCAGGCACTGCAGGATTTCAATCCTTGTCAAAGTAGTGTGTTACCAATTGTTTTCTTGGTGACTGTGGTCCCAGCTGCCTGGAGATCATTGACAAGATCCTCACATGTAGTTCTGGTATGATTCCTCACTGATCTCATGATCATTGACAATCCACGAGGTGAGATCTTGCATGGTGCACCAGAACTAGGGAGACTGACAGTTGTTTTTTGTTTCTTCCATTTGCGAATGATTGCACCAACTGTTGTCACCTTCTCACCAAGCTGCTTGGCGATAGTTTGGTAGCCCAGTCCAGCCTTGTGTAGGTCTACAATCTTGTCCCTGACATCCTTGGACAGCTCTTTGTTCTTTGCCATGGTGGAGAGTTTGGAATCTGATTGTTTGATTGCTCCTGTGGACAGGTGTCTTTTATACAGGTAACAAAATGAGATTAGCAGCACTCCCTTTAAGAGACTGATTCTAATCTCAGCTTGCTACCTGTATGAAAGACACCTGGTAGCCAGAAATCCTGCTGAATGATAGGGGATCAAATACTTATTTTCCTCATGAACATGCAAATCATTTGTTAGACATTCATTTCTTTTGAATTTTTTCTTGCTATTCTGTCTCTCAGTGTTACAATACACCCACCATTCAATTTTTAGACTGATCATTTCTTTGTGAGTGGGCAAACATTCAAAATCAGCAGGGGTTCAAATACTTATTTCCTTCACTGTGTGTATATGTATGTGTGTATATATATATATACACATACATACATACACACACACACACGCTGTATAGCAGAACAGTACCGAGTCAGCCTGGGCCAGTTTGGTTCTAGGAGTTGCCAGAATGCTGTTTCTTTCCTCCGAAGCAGATGAGGAAAGCGTTGTAGAGGTGGAAATGCATTGATAAGGCCAAATTGATGTCATACAGTCAACAGGGCACGGCCAAGGGATCACTGGATCTAGACATGAACCTTTCCAGCTTGCTACTGAACCTGGAAAGCAGGAGGTCCATGTCCAGTGTCCTTCATCTGAAACAGAGGTCTCAAAACTGGGTAAGGAAACCGCTCTCGAGAATCCAAGTGTTTACAACTGAGGAAGTCAGCCTGCCAAGTTTCCACTGCTGGAAAGCTGAGGGCAAACAATGCTGGTGCTTGAAGTTCCAACCAAGATAGAATGTGATCTACCTTTCTTTGAGAGGAAAGACTCTCATCCCTGGTGGTAATGTAAGCCACTGCTGTGGAGTTGTCTGAATCTTGGACACATGACCTTGCAGTAGGGAGGTCCAACACTAAAGGGATAACTGAATGACTTTAAGCTCCAGAAAGCTTCAAACTCTCTTGAACTGAGAAAGAGTCCAGGACTCCAACCTAGCCTGACAGGCTGGCATCCATTGTTATGACCTTTCAAGCAGAGGTGCGGTAATGATTTCTCTGACTCCAGAGGTGCATTGATGAGAGTTACACCTCCCATCCCTCAACCTGCACACACAGTTGTATTTGCTGAGGTGCTTCAGTGGCGAGGCAGATGATGTTAGTGCTCAGCTCGACTCGATTTTGTTCTTGGTCTGGCAAATTTATTAAATACATTCTTGAGTGAGAAAAAAATATCAGATAACTGGAGTGCAGACATGGGCAACCAAACTAATAGGAGGCATGGAAGTAGGGTTGCCACATCCCTCATCCCTTTAAAAACTGTACACATTAATTACACAGGTCACACAGGCTAATTTAATGCAGATAAGGCTCTAAGTGAGTTTAATTACCACCTTAATCAGCCACAGAACCTGTATAATTAAAATGTGTTTAGTTTTAAAGGGATGAGGTGGCAACCCCACATGGAGGACCTCAGCTATGAGGAAAGATTAAGTGACCTGAATTTAATCTCTCTTGCAAAGAGGCGATTAGGGGGGGAGTATGTTATGAACGCTGCAACCCCCTGGATGCATGCATCAACTATAATAGTTGCAGGTGCTATCTGCCCTTCTTTGAACACACACATATACAGAGGGTAAAATAAATATTGAACAAGTCACCATTTTTCCCGATAAATATAATTTTAAAGGTGCTATTGGCATTACATTTTCACCACATAACGGTGACAACCCATGCAATCCATACATACAAAGAGACCAAAACAAATACGTTCAGAAATTAAGTTATGTGTAATAAAATAAAATGACACAGGGAAAAAGTATTGAACACACGAACTGAAATGTGTGTAATACTTCGTACAAAATCCTTTGTTGTTAATGACAGCCTGAAGAAGCCACCTGTATAGAGAAACTAGTTGCATGGATTGCTCAGGTGTGATTTTGGCCCATTCTTCCACACAGTATTCAAATCTTGAAGGTTCCGTGGGTCTCTTCTATGTTCTCTGATCTTTAGTTCTTTCCATAGATTTTCTATTGGATTCAAGTCGGGTGATTAGCTGGGCCATTCTATCATTCAATTTTCTCTGTCTTTGAAACCAATTGAGAGTTTCCTTGGCTTTGTGTTTGGGATCATTGTCTTGCTGAAATGTCCACCTTTGTTTCATCTTCATCATCCTGGTAGATGGCAGCAGATTTTTATCAAGAATGTTTTGGTACATTTTTCCATTTATCCTTCCTTCAAGGAAATGAAGTTTGCCAGTACCATATGGTCTGAGCACTGACAGGCTGACCCCCCACCGTTCAACCTCTGCAGCAATGCTGGCAGCACTCATACGTCTATTTCCCAAAGACAACCTCTGGATATGACGCTGAGCAGGTGCACTCAACTTCTTTGGTCGACCATGGTGAGGCTTGTTCTGAGTGGAACCTGTCCTGTTAAACCACTGTATGGTCTTGAACACTGTGCTGCAGCTCAATTTCAGGGTCTTGGCAATCTTCTTATAGCCTAGGCCATCTTTATGTAGAGCAACAATTCTTTCTTTCAGATCCTCAGAGAGTTCTTTGCCATGAGGTGCCAAGTTGAACTTCCAGTGACCAGTATGAGAGAGTGAGAGTGATAACACCAAATTTAACACACCTGCTCCCCATTCACACCTGAGACTTTGTAACACTAACGAGTCACATGACACCGGGGAGGGAAAATGGCTAAATGGCCCAATTTGGACATCTTCACTTAGGGGTGTACTCACTTTTGTTGCCATCGGTTTAGACATTAATGGCTGAGTGTGGAGTTATTTTGAGGGGACAGAAAATTTACACTGTTATACAAGCTGTACACTCACTACGTCACATTGTAACAAAGTGTCATTTCTTCAGTGTTGTCAGATGAAAAGATATAATAAAATATTTACAAAAATGTGAGGGGTGTATTCACTTCTGTGAGATACTGCATGTGCGATGTATTGTACAGTAAATGGGACTTTAGGCCTCGTTGACACCATGTGTAATAAGTATGCAGATTTGACTTGCATAGGATTAAACTTTTTGCTTATCCCCAAATTATTCTGTCAACCACCTGCCCTCCAGAGGATTTACCCCCCTTTCTGACCAGGACATTTTTTGTGATGCGGTGCTGCATTATTCAACTGACAATTGCACGACCATGCAAAGTTGTACATAAATAAAAATTTATGTCCTTTTTATCCTGCAAATGGAGCTTTCTTTCAATGGTATTTGATAGCCTGTGCATTTTTAATTTTTTGAGCTATAAAAAAAAAAAAAAAGCCCGGCAATTTTGAAAAAAAAAAACAAAAACAAAAAATATTTTTTACTTTTTGCTATAAAACATATCCAGTAAAAATGTAATAAAAAGCACTGACACTGTCCTAATGACACTGGGCAGGAAGGGGTTAACATCTGGGGCGATCAAAGAGTTTTCTGTGTGCTTTGTATTGCTCTGCTGTGTAGAGCAATATAAATCAGCCTGTTTGTGCTGACGGGAGAGATTTGTATTGTTTACATACAGACGTATCCCCTGTCAGCTTCCCCCGACAATCACCGAGCCCCGGCAGAGAATCAGTGGCCGGGACCTGGTGATTGATATGCCGAAGAGCCAATAGCGGTGTGGGAAGGGAGTGTGCGCACCCCCTACCAGGAAATGCAAAATCACGTATATATACACATGATTTTGCACATCCTTGCCGCCCTGTAGTAATACTTCTGCTATAGGGTGGTCGGGAAGCGGTTAAATGACAATAATAGCTACAGATGAAAAACATGCTATCACTTATTTTATTTATTTTGGGTACTTACATAGCGCTATCAATTTACGCAGTGTTATACATATATATCTATTCACATCAGTCCTTAACCCTCAAGAAGCGTACAATCTAAAAGGTCCCCAACTCGCATTCATACATACTAGGGCCAATTTAGACAGGAGTCGATTAACCTACCAGTATGTCTTTAGAGTGTGGGAGAAAACCGGAGTACCCCGAGGAAACCCATTTAGGCAGAGGAAGAACATGCGTACTCCACGCAGGTAGTGCCATGGTTGAGATTGGAACCAACGACCATACTGCTGCTAGGTGGAAGTGCTAGCCACTTAGCCAATGAGGAAATCTGTACCAGGAAACTTACTTTGACTTTGCCTCTTGAAGCAATGCTGGGTCATCAGTTGCCAGGTAAACTCGTTTCTTGTCTATGTGCATCTTTCTAGCGAGAAGCTGAAAGTGCTCCTCGACATGTGCCATGTATTCTTCAATTGGGTGGAATGCTGCCTCTGTCCCAACTTTATCAGTCCTCCTAACGTGGACTCTAGAGGAAAAGAAACAAAGTAAATAATAATTATAGTAAAATTAGACATGCTGGGCAAGTTATACAGTCTTGTGAAAAAGTAAACACACCCCATGGAAACTGTTGAAGTGTTCAACATATTTGAACAGGCAAACATTACAGCTTCAAATAGTGTCAACAGATAATAAGGTAAGAAAAGCTGATATACTTGAAACAATGATACATAAAATTGATGTGGTTATTTATTTGTATGGTCAAAATGAAGAAAAATGCAGCTTTGTCATATGGAAAAAGTTTTAAAAACCCAGACATTTACCACCATTTCAAACCCATTAAAGTACAAATCCAATTTCAAACCAGTTAGGACACGGTGTAAAATCTACATAATAACAGAATGCAATGATTTTCAAATCTCATTAAGCCATATTTTATTGATAATAAAAAACATATCAAATGTTTACCCACTTGCCTACTGGGAACTTTTACCCCCTTCCTGCCCAGGCCAGTTTTCAGCCTTCTGTGCTGTTGCACTTTAAATGACAATTGCGCGGTCATGCAACAATTGTACCCATATGACTTTTTTTCCACACAAATAGAGATTTCTTTTTCTGGTATTTAATTGCCACTGGGTTTTTTATTCTTTGCACTATAAATGAAAAAAAGACCAAAAATTTTGAAAAAAAAAAGTTTTTCGTTTCTACTATAAAAGTTTGCAAAACAGGTATTTTATCCTTCACTGATGTGCGTTGATGAGGCTGCACTGATAGGCAGCACTGATGCATTGGTACTGGTGGGCATTAATGAGGAGGCACTGATGAGGCTACACTCATATCTGGTACTGATGAGTAATAATAAGCAGCACTGAAGGGCACTGATCGTCCGCAACAGTGCCCTGATTATCAGTGCAGACTAATCCTTTTACAGTTGCCGGTTATTGTCAGTACCATCCTTACGCTGTGACAGCATGAGGAAAGTACTGCCGATAACTGGTAAGTGTATTTACATGGTGATCAGCTGTGATTGGGCACAGCTGATCACGTGGTAAAAGGACACTGTGATTGGCCCTTTACCATGTCATGTGGTCAGCCGATTCCAAAGGACATAGCGATCACAGAGACCCCCGGGTGTGCACCGCTGGGACTGCACGTTCTGGGAGGACGTTATATGACACCGTACCAGAACTGGCTCACGTTGCAGCTGTCATTCAACTATAGCATGGTCAAGAAGTGGAGAAACTGAGAAAATATACCATTTTAAGAAAAAATAAGGTCATTTTGAAATTGATGGCATCTCAAAAAAGTTGTGACAGGGCAACAAAAAGCTAGCAAAGTGTTACTAACAAGGAAGAGCACTTTGCAAATAATTAGGTTAAATGGCAACTGGTCAGTAACATAATTGGGTATAAAAAGAGCATCTCAGAGTCAGAATGTCTCAGAAGTAAAGATGGGCAGAGGTTCACCAATCTGAAAATATACGTCTAAAAAATTGTCAACCAATTTCAGAATAATGTTTCTCAATGCAAAACTGACGTTAATTATAGCTTATATCATCATCTACAGCACATATCAAAAGATTCCAAGAATCTGGAGAAATATTGGAATCCCATAATCTTTGGGCACTCAGACGACACTGCCTTAAAAACAGGCAGTCTGTGATGGACATCACTGCATGGGCTCAGGTATACTTCCAAAACTCACAGTTCCCCGTGCCATCCAAAAATGTAAGTTAAAGCTCTATCATGCAAAGAAGCCATATCTGAACATGATGCAGAAACACTGCTGTCTTCTCTGGGGCCAACGTCCATTCAAAATGGTGTATTGCAAAGTGGAAAACTGTTCTGTGGTCAGACGAATGGAACTTTGACATTCTTTTTGGCAACCAGGGGTGCTGCATCCTCGGGACTAAAGAGTAGAAGAACCTTCCAGTTTGGTATCGCTGCTCAGTTCAAAAGCCTGCATCTCTAATGGTATGGAGATGCATTAGTGTGTATGGACAGTGCAGCTTGCACATCTGGAAAGGCACCATCAATACTGTAAGATATACCCAGAGTAGCATATGCTCCCATCCAGATGATGTCTTTTTTCAAGGAAAACCCTTCCATATTTCAACAGGACAATGTTAAACTGCATACTGCATCTATGACAACAGCATGGCTTCAGAGTAGAGAGTAGAGAGTCCGGGAGCTCAACTGGACTACTTGCAGTGCAGACCTTTTACCAATTTAAAAATGTTTGGCACACCTTGAAATGAAATATACGACAAAGAAGACCCAGTACTGTTGAGCAGTTAGAATCCTATATCAGGTCGAGAATGGGACAACATTCCTCTTCCAAAACTCCAGCAACTGGTCTCATCAGATCCCAGATGTTTACAGAGTGTCATTAAAAAGAAGAGGAGATGCCACACCATGATACACATGGCCCTGTAACAACTTTTTTGAGACCTGTTGCTGCCATCAATTTCAAAATGACCTTTTTTTCCTCTATAAATGGTACATTTTTCAGTTTAAACATGTGATATGTTTCTATTTTCTATTGTGAATAAAATGTGTTTATGAGATTTGCAAATTAATGCATTCTGTTTTCATGTAGATTTTGCACAGCAACCCAACTTTTTTTTAGAACTGGGGTCTAGAACTAAAGACAGCACTTTTTTTTTTAATTTTGGAGTAAGGGAGGGTTATAATCCCTGTAAGTTTTAGTTTTCCTACCTGTGTTACAGAGATTTTCCTTCACTTCCTGTCCCATACACATAACAGGAAGCGAAAGAAAATCCCTCTAAAGTGAAGGAATCCCCCGTTATAAACCAGAACTAGTGTCAACATCGGAAGATTTTCCCTCTATTACTGTTCTGAGGACAACCCAAAATTTGATTTTACTTTCAGTGATAATAGTAAACAGAACCCCCTAACAGGGGTACAGACAGCAATAAAAACCTGACAGACATTCTAATCCCTCTTGACTCAAAAAAGTTTTGCCTTTTATTATACTTTATAGTATATGTAAACCCTCACCTGGTAAAACAACCAATTAAGTTTAAAATAGAAATAAAAGGCAAAACATTTATGAATACATATAAAAAAAAAACCCCATTATAAATACGTTATTTTTCCTTTTCTAAGTGGTCACAATTTCTGTTCTCAGTTGCATAAGGAGCTGGGGGAGGAGATACAGCAGCAACCTGAGCTTCCCAGTGAATGGCTGTGCAGGAGGAGGCATGTACTCACAAGCCTATGCATTGGATTAGCTCCCAGTATAGCCAGACCATGTTCTGCTCTCCTACCTAGTGTGGTCAGTTTTTGTCAAGGAAAGCAGAGAAACTGGCAGGAACACCAGGAAATTCACAAAAAAGAAGCAATACAAAGAGAACAGGATACTTTTTCATACAAGTAAATGGTACAGCAGGCACATATAAGGATTATAAAATACTAGGTTTACATATTCTTTAAATTAGAATCCTGCGTTCCAGAATATGTGCCAATCATTAGAAACTTCTTAGGGAGTATGCAGGTGGAAACTGTTTTATTTATACCTCAGATATCTAGGGTCTGGTGTTTTCTTTGATATTGACAGGTCTGCTGTCGTTATGTTAAGATCAATAGAGGCTCCCTAAGGTCCTCAGAAAAAAAGCTGTAAGTCGGGCAAGGGATTAAAAAAGATTGGCAAATGATTTGAAATCATTCTACTGTAAGGTATATAATTTACAATTGATTTCAAACAATTGCTATATTGTGCAGTAAATTTAAAGTGATATTAAAGGAAATTTTGTTTTTTTTTTTAAAAAAACATGTCATACTTACCTGCTCTGCGCAGTGGTTTTGCACAGAGCAGCCTTGATCCTCCTCTTCTTGGGTCCCCTGCCAGTGCTCCTTGCCCCTCCCTCCTGCCGAGTGCCTCCAGAGCAAACAGCTTGCTATGGAGGCACCCAAGCGGGCTCACTCCCGAGCCACTCCCCTGCGTGTCCATTCAAGCACAGCTCGGCTCTGCCCCCTCTCTCTCACCATTAGCTTACTAGCTGTGATTGACAGTAGCGGAAGCCAATGAGGGGGAGTCCCCAGAGAGCTGCGGCTATCGTGCACATAGCTGGATCGTGATGGGGCTCAGGTATGTATTGGGGGTTGCTGCACACAAAAGGTTTTTTACCTTCATGCATCCCAAGGACTGACTATAATAAAAAAAGTCTTCAAGAAACCCCAAATTTTGCTGCAGGGTTTTCAGGTTACTCTTATGAAGGAGAGAAGATCACCCCTATGTTAAATAAACAAGAAGTTTGCTTAATGAGGATGAATACAAAGCAGGGGATGATTAGCCTTAAAAAAAAAAAAAAAAAGTAGTACACCTTGCAATGGTTACTGGGAAAGGCTTAAATGCTGTCAATTGAAATGCATTTCTTGATCATATCATCAATATTTTTAACAGTTTAATGACTCATAACTCCAATAACTCAGGAGACATCCAAACTGGAGCTACATCCTTGCGCACTGGGAACCACAGTGCCACCATTAGGTGAACCAGATCCTGATAGCATCACATAACTATGGCTTTACACCAATTCCAAACATAGAAATGAAAATGCACTGATCATACAACAGATCTGATTGGAGAGAGGGATGAGCCAGCAACTGTCCTTTGATGTTAAACTATATAAAGACTGAAATTCAACTTTTTGATTGCACTCAAGTTACATGAATCCAAAAGTCAGAATTGCCCGATTTCTGTATGTCTCCAATAACCTTGCAGACAGAAGTGGCTGTTTTTTCACTGCTAGTGAAAGCAGACTCTGTGTGTTGCAAAAAACCTAGGTACCAGCCTATTCTCTGCTAAACATTCCATCCAGATCAGAGAGCACGAGTGAAAAAATTATATTGTCTGTGTATGAGACCCATAGTTGCAGCGCTGGAGGTATAGAAGGAGCAATGCTATCTGTCCTGAATTAAAGTGTAAATATTAAAGAAATTACCTGATACTTAAAGTAGAATTCCAAGATAAACCTAGCTTATCTTAAAAATGCTCCCTCCGCTCTCCTAACACCTATTCTGACTAACCTGTGTAACAAAAAAAAATGATGTGTATACTTACCTATTCTCAGGCCACTCTGGTCCAGTTGCATGATCTCCTGGATCTCCTGTGTCAGCCAGGGCCTGCTGCAGGGTAGAGGAGAGCATGCTCAACAATGGCTGCCAATGTCTGAGAGCACTGATGTCATCCATATGCTCACAATGGTGAATGTTTGCTAAACAATAAGCTGCCAACATATGCATATAAAAAGCATATTCAAACACCTCTAAGTAATAAGACAAAAGAAAGATGACAAAGGAAACAATCCCCGAGGTATAGGCTAGTAAGAGTTAATCTCCTGACAACACAGCTGGATAAAGCTAAGCTTCCTCCTTGAATATGCTGCGAACCTGAGCACTGCAAAAGAGAAAGGAGGGGGAGAGAGAGGCTACCACAGGGTGTAGTAGGAATTATTAAGTATAAATGGTTAAAAGCAAATGATTATGTGTCTACAAGCATCACAAATAAATGGGCATTGAAACAGCTCAGTCTGAAGCCACCAGAAGAAAGTCCAGTACTGAGCAGAAATGCAGGGATCGAAGTTGATGCAGGGATTCAGAGAAGCTGCCAGCAGGAGACTCAAACAAGCTGTCAAGAGAGCTGTCAAGTGTCAGGACACAGTAGCCAATCAGGAATGTGTTTTGGAAACCAAACTATGCCTTCTTTGTTCCTGATTGGCTACTGCGTCCTGGCACTTGACAGCTCTCTTGACAGCTTGTTAGAGACTCCTGCAGCGGCTCCCTAGCGACTTTTCTGGATCCCTGCACCGGCTTCTGTAGTGCTCCCATGAACACATTGGCTTCAGTTGGGGCTGGACTTACCCTTGGCAGCTTCAGACTGAGCTGTTTTAATGCTTATTTGTGATGCTTGTGAGTGCATAATAATTTGCTTTTAAACAATTTAGGCTCGGTTCACACTTGTACGTTTGTTCATTTGAATGGGCTGCTGTGCCGAGTAAACTGCAGAAAAAAAGGTGTATGTAACTTTTTAAAAATGCGGGAGCAGGGAAATCACAGTCTTTTTGACAGTGCAGTTTACCTGCAGTTCCCGCACCAGCTGAAAACTGAGATGCGTGGCGGTGCCATTCAGAATGAATATCAGCCCTATGCATCTTACAAGAGCAGTGCGATTTGGCTGCGGGTGGTTGTGGGTGTGAGAATCAATGCAATTCCCACACCCACAATCGGAATGCATAGTGCGAGCTAGTGTTAATCTAGCCTTATACTTGATAAATCCTACTACACCAGTGGCGGCCTGGTGTCTCTCTTTCCCCCTCCTTTCTCTTTCCCTGAATTCCACGTTAATGTGGCATACACCTCATGAGACATAATGTTTACTAATGTTAAAACAGTCAAATAAGTTACTTGAATAGCTGTGCCTCCAAAACATACAGGGGAGAAAATCTGGAATCTGCAAAAACTGAATAAATCTGTTCTACTAGATTATTCCCATGGTGCCTTGCTCAGAAACTATTAATAGAAAATCACGGTTAATGTGTAAAAGCAGCAAGACAAAATGCTAATGTAGCACATATTTCTAAACTTAAAAGAATAAAAGTATTTGTTAATTATAAATTCAAATAAAAAAAAAAATTCAAATAAAGATAGAAAAAAAAGAAGCAAACTGATGCCAAAATCAATTAGGCTATATCAGGTATAAATGGCACATAGATAGATTTCAGAACTGGTTTTTGCATATCCAGAATGTACTTAATGACTGAGCCAAAGTGGGAAAATAGTACAATACGGTAATTCAGGTTCTCATGAATATAAACAAATTGTGGATTAAAAGAGCAACAACACACTGTTTTATTTTAATGATGTGATGGTCATATACTTGTGTTTCAACATAGTTCTAAACAATGATTTTCTATCAGTTAATTGGCTGTGCTTCATATGCTTACCCAATAATTGGATGCTTAAATCCCAGTTTTTTCGTGGAATCCTCAATTTCCTTTTCCAGCCAAGGCTGAGGCCTGATCAAATACTTGACAAACTGCGATACCCACCAAACAGCTGGGTCACCATGTAAACGCATCAACCGATCTGCAAGGTCTTCTGGTACTCCAAGTGGCAGGTAAGGAGGCCTTGGATGAAGACTATCAACAATTGGTAACTCCACAACCTGAACATCTTTGTCATTTGCTTCACCTGTATCAGAGAAAAATGAAATTCCTTCAAGATGATATAAAAATAAAAGAGACACAAGAGAAGGCTTTGCCTCTTTCAGTTGAGTTTGCCAATGGCCTATTCAGTTTAGTCACGTTTTGATATCGGTACAACTGGTAATATTTTCTTTGGTACCTTTAAGGGTATAAAAGAGGGGATGCAACAGGTGGACATTTGTGTCAAAGTCCCAACTATTTTTTTCTTTTTTTTGTAAAAGCATCAGGGTTCAAAAGTCTTCTTTAAACTGCCTAGTGATTACCTTGGGAATAAAAAAAAAAATCAAAGTCTATAAACTGTGCACACTTGGTTTGCAAAAATTACAATGGGACTCATCAGTGTCTAAGACAAAACATGGGATAGATATCTTCTAATCACGCCAAATTTAGAAGTTTAACTTTTTATATGTATACATGGCTTGTATATTACCTAACCTTAATGCTTCAACTTAATTAATTGCTATCCCATTTGAAGAAATAATGTGGGTCATAGGCTAGATGACATTGCTGCTCGTAGTTGCAAGAGAGCAAACCAAAAATGCCAATTCCTCTCTTCTCATTATGAGATGCCCTTGCGTTATTTGCAGAATAAAGTTAAAAAGGCCCAGTAGTTGTCTTTTACTTTTCTTTTGTCTTTTCTACTTTTTCACTGCCTCAAAACCTGGTTCCACTGGTAACAGTATTTTCCCCTCTACATTTATTCCAGTGAAACTAGCAACTGTGTTCCCCACTCTCTGTACCTGCATATATGGAGAAATTCTGTTCAAATGTGTTTGCTAAAACCTGAAGGAAACCTGCACAGAGAGAAATATTGAGGTTGACATTGCTAATGAACACAAATTGCCTGACTTTCTCTGGCTTCAGTACTTTAGGTCACAGGAGAAGAAAAGTAATTGTACTCCTGGACATACTTCCCTTTCAAGAATGACATTGCAACATACGATTGTCAGTCATAGGACTAAAAGCCATGCTGAAACAAGCTTACCATCTAAAGAATTTCAGGGAACTTCAAACTTATCATTAGGAACAATGCATAATTACAACAAATATGAAACTAAATAAAGCATTGCTTGTTTAGAAAGGATAAGATTTATAAGCAAAAAGCAAGTCACTGTAAATAGTTTAAAAGAGAGCTGCACTCCCAAAAATAAGCACAGAAGCTGACAACAATCTTTGGAATTTAACCCCATAAACATCGATTTTCATGGATAAAAAAAAAAAATATTGAACCTTCCCTTACACACAAATAATTTTAAGGCCTGCAGAATACTTAATGCCCCACCACCCCATAATAAATATTTTGTGAAAGTAGACAAGCTCCAAGAGACCCTGGAGAGTTAAACAGTGGTAGCTCCATTTTTTTTAATGTCACATGATATTTGAAAACTTCCTGTAAAAAACACAATACAGTTATTTTTGGGGCAAACAAATGCCAATATATTACCCAATTTTTGGTAAAATAGAAAAGATGAGGTTGTATCAAGCAAATAGACATCCAACATGTCTTCTTTACAGCTAGGGGAGATTAACGAACTAAGGTCTCCCTCACCTGCACCCAGTGATGCCAGCAATTGGGACAGGAAACATGGCAAGGGGCACACTTTTGGGGATTACAGAAAACCTGTAGCAGTCGGGAGTATGTGTAACCCCCCCCCCCCCCCACTAAATGACATTAAAAGGTTTAAAAGAACCACAGACTATTCAAAACAGTATGTAAATATTGGCAATCAACTTATTGTATTTGCTCCTTTTTGGTCTGTAAATATACCACATTTTTTTAATATCTGTTCAAAAAGTGCAAAAAATATGCAGACCCTGCCAGAAATCCAGCGAGTGCATTACTCCTTGTACAATCTGCTTGGGCTGAACAGCAGTGCATCAGCCCTGCTTAGATTTCTATGGACCACAGAACATTTCCCCAAATGTTATGTATGTGAGGAGAGGGGGAGATATCCTGTAGTCTCAACACACTTCCGATCATAGTTCTTTTTTATTTATTTATATTTTATGCAAGACATCATATACAAAAAAGGCAAACAACCACTGTTCTGACAAATACAAATGGTGACAGTATAGGAGAGAATGCCGACCAAAAGCAAAGTGTGTTGCATGCAGTAAGACCAGAAAGATCCAATTTGTAAGACAGGGTACAGTACAAGCAGAGATAATGGACCAGACAAAGCCCATTACAAATAAATCAATAAATACACATCTTGGAGCAAACCAGAGAGAGAAGGGGAGTAGGGCAGGGCAACAAAAAACAGGCTGATGTGCAGCGGGTCACTAGGATACTGTAAAGGCAGCAGCTTTAGGTATTGCCAGCAGCAGGGAAAGAGATAGAGCGATATCAAGGAAAAGAGGGAGAGCTAGAGGAGATGCCAGCCTTGGTACCCCACGAAGAGGGTCCACAAGAAGGGAAAGGGGGGGGGGGGGAGAGAAAGAGAAACAGAAGAAAAGGAAAAGGCAGAAAAAAAGGCAAAAAAAATGAGGGATGAATAGGGCAGGTTAAGATAAAGAAAAATATTCATCCTCTCCAGGGCAAAGCAGACAGCATATTAAAGAGACCCACCTCATTAAGAGGTAGTAAATTAGTTTTGGTAGGCATTCGTGTAGATAAAATATTGCCAGGGGCACCAGGTTTCCTTAATGGTCTCCTCTTGGCTACGTAGAGTGGCAGTAAAGTCCTCCATGTCCCTAAGTTCATTACCCTTGGAAAACCACATGGCTAGTGTAGGAGGATTAATGTCTTTCCATCGGAGCCAGGTCATCCTGCAAGTCAACCGCAGAGAGTTGTTTAATAATCCCAGTTACTCTCCGCCAAAATGATTGGAGCTTCGGGCACTGCCACAAGATATGTAGGAAGGAGCCCTGGTTGGTCCTGCATCTCCAGCAGACACTGGGAAATTGAGGCAAAATGGAGTGGAGCCTGGTGGGAACCAGATATCATCAAGCTATGTATAAAAACCTTAATACACAAAGTCATGATATACTCAGAAACCCGCATTTCCAAAGTACCACCAAGTAAGTACAGTGACAACAAAGTATTATTTGATGGAAAGGGAATAAAATAAGTACAGAGATTCAATTTTGAGCTCCAGGATAAGGTAGAAAGGAAAAGAAGAAAGATGAAGTATGTCAGTACCCCAAAGGAAGAGGACTATTAAAGTCCAGAAAGAAAGTGAATGATAGTGAAACACAAGCCAATGGTCAAGTGTAAAAGTATATTGAAGTAACAGTACACATCCATGAAAGACTTACTCTCAGAAATGCAATGATATGGAATTGAGTTTGAAGTTGCCCCAAGGATTGCACAGCAAACAGACTCAAAACAGTCAGGCTTATAAAGCCAGCAAAACAAAATCGGTCTGGCCCCCTCAGCATCACAAAGGGGAGGGTACAGAAGGACCCCCACCAGCTGTCAACATAACAGGAAGGGCGGCCAAACGCTGCCTGCAAGAGAGCAGAAATGCTGACATACCGCAGTGGCATGGGACATCATCGTGCCCCGTAGGAGGCACATGTGCGAATCCCCCCCCCCCAGACCAAGAATCAATCAGGGCTGGGAGGAATATCAAATGTGATGCCGATCCCACTCACTACAATCCACAATGGCGGAAGGAAGTGTCAGAAAAACCAGGACATTAGCCCAGGGACACACAAACACACAAACAGACCCACATTCCCAAGGGCTGGCAAACCAGGGACCAAATGGGATCTCAACTCCCGGAATAGGGAACAGATGGACACAGGAGGCAACCCAGGCATCCTACAATCAAAAAGAAAGTAAATCAAATACAATAAAAATAATGAAAAAAAATTGGAAAAAACTCTATTTTGTTAGCCTGTGGATACAAACATCTGCTCCCAAAAGGGTGCTACACAAACTGGAGGGATAGCTGATGCAATCATAAGATGCCATAAATACTCTATGAATCTGTGCCATGCAATATAATTCATACAATTTATACCATATGTGCAATCTTCAAAATAAAGAGTCTGTGCAATTACCCATATAACTTCTTATAAAGTGTGTACATAAATAATTTGTGACATAAAGATCCCATGTAACAGATAAAGTCCTTAAATAATAAATATATAAAATCTTCTAAATAAGGTTTCTCAATTCTTGTAAATATTTGTGCACGTTCCTGCCATGTGCAAAAACACCCTTCTGTGTTACTTCTCCACCAACACACATATGTACTCTCACCTCCTTATTTTGACCTACAGATATTTAGGTCAAACAGCGCTTTCCCTTTTAAACCAGGGTAGGTATAATCCCTTTATTGCTCCACTCTCCCCCACACTCTACTCCAGAATGGTTTTCCTATTTCATATCCAGCATATCCTCTGAACAGGCAGAAAAAACGCCCATCAGTGTATCATTTATATCAACCAGTATTTATTAAAAAGATTGAGTGCTCTCACATAAAAAGTGTCCAACTGGGACATTGCAGTTGAATAGCACAATATCACATCCAGCGTTCTATGGTGACTCACATATAAACTTCCGGTTGTGCAGCTTGATGTCATTGGCCCACTGTACGCATTATGGCACAACACGTGACTTCATCAGGAGATCTCCTAATGGCAAGCCACCATTTTGTGAGTCTTTATGTCACAATTGTGTATGTACGCACTGTGATGCTGATATGCACATTATGAGAAGTTATATGGGTAACTGCACAGGCACTTGATTTTGAAAACTGCACATATGGTATAAATTGTATGAATTATATTGCACGGCACGGATTCACAGTATTTACTGTTTACATATGTGGGAACACACCTAATGTCAGCAACAATAATATATTGGAGGTGGGAGCTTGTGAATTGCGTTGAAGTTACTTTGAAAACATTTTTGTTAATCATAAGATTCCCCCACCCAATGGGGTCTGGGAACTGGAATCTGACAAAAGTACCACATTTATGCAGAATAAGAAGGTGTTGATGTCTGTGATTACAAAACCTGGAGTAACTTGAGTG